TAAATTCTGATTCATTGGCACAAAGACTATTTCCTCATCGGGCAAACTGATCTTTTCTCATGATTGTCTACACTAGTTCGAAAAAAACCGTTTACACTTGGCCCTTTTATCGGTTGTTAGGGAATCTAACCTACAACCCTTTGGGGGGGTTCCCCACTGTATTGCTTTCGCAAGCTTTCCTGGAAGCCCGTTCTTTTTTTTCCACCTGTTTTCTAAAAAAATTTTTTTAAATCTGCCTTCACCCTCTCGTCAACACCATCGCTATACTCATGCTGACAGGAGTTTCATACTGGCGATGGGCTTAAGGGTACCGGGGAATAAAGGGACAAGGAAGGGGGCATTAACCCCGCTAGAACAGGCAATATGGGGTAGGGCCTGCGGGTCGCATGGGATTTTCAAGGTCATTCACGGGGGGCACAGTCGTCCGAGATTACCAAAATTCACTACCGTTTAATTACTCCAAACCCGCAGCCTTTTCACAGCTAGCCACTGTCTAGGAAGACAACAAATTTTCACTCGTGGACAAACAAATCAGCACAAACTTATATGTTTATAGATGAACCTCTGGTGTTACAGTTAAAAAGCCGCTCCCAAAAGGAGTTACCAGGGACTACCCTTTTAAAACGGAAAAAATAATTCCGTGTTTCACTAGGATATCCCCAGTCACAACTCACACACAAGAGTTTTCACAAAACCGAAGGTACGGGGGCCGGAACACTGTAACGTTCACAAGGGATTCTGGATTCAGAACAGATGTAACGCAGTGTAACTTGGCCTTCACTGGCTGGCTTTGGGGTGCTGTTTAAACCCGGGTTGGCTAACTCGCCCCTTATCCCCAAAGTAGATAATGGCGACGAGCTATGGTATACCGGTGAATAGGAAAGTCGTGGAAGGGACATTCACCTCACTAGACACACGCAGTATGGGTGTAAGTGGCATGCGGGTCTTATAGTGTCATTTTCAAGGTCACCCAGCAGGCCATACATTCCTCACTCATTTTAAGCCTACGTAGGTACTGATGGTAGCACAATGTCCTAAGTCAGTGAAATCCACTCATGCAAATAGTTACAACAAACCTGCAGCACTTAACGCTTCTAGCACACGTATGACAGACGAATGTTCACTCTGTGGTTTACCTGGAGTTTTACCTGGAGAGAGTTCCGGGGGTCAACGCCCCTGCGGCCCGGTCTGTGACCAGGCCTCCTGGTGGATTAGAGCCTGATCAACCAGGCTGTTGCTGCTGGCTGCACGCAAACCAACGTACGATCCACAGCCCGGCTGATCAGGAACTGACTTTAGGTGCTTGTCCAGTGCCAGCTTGAAAAAAGCCAGGGGTCTGTTTTGGGAAACCCCCCTTTTGTGTGCTGGAGGCAGTTGAAATCTCGGGCCCCGACATTATTGTATGGTCTCTTTAAAGGCTAGGACACCCCGCTTTTATTGGGGGATGGGGCATCGTCTGCCAATCTTTTTCTTTTTTGTAGTGATGTTTTCGTGTGCAGTTCGGTACTAGTCCCTCAGGTTTTTTCCCGGGTATATAATCATGTATCTCTCCCTCCCC